TGTAGAATGTTATATTGTAGAAACGAATTGATACCAGTTCTATAAAATAATACTTATGCAAGTTTATTGCATAATAAAGTTTGGTTAAAAGAAATAGACTTCAAAAATATAAACAACATGATAATAAATGAAGGAAAAACTAAAATTGATTGCAAGTGTGAAACATCTGTAAACAAATTACAGAAAATAACAAGTAACGTAGTTAAACCAAAACTTTTTAACTAAAAAAATTGATAATACCTAATTAATGTAAATATAATAATAAGAGTTAAATGAATTAAAATGAAATAAAAGTAATTTTATTTAGACTTAAATAAACCAAAAATTACCATTACAACTAAGTTATACTTAATGTCCAAGATCGTATTACTTCTGAAGTACATCAAATGTATTATACCTTACAATAAATTGGAAATCACTATTCTGATTCACAATTAAATTAATACTGCTAGTAGAATTCTTTAAAAATTTAACTTAAGCATGTACTTAAAACTCATTGAGATACTTTGTGAGTCACTGTATATAACCACATTAACACATCACTAAATTCTTTTCATGAAAAAATATCTTAAAATAAGAAATTTTACTTTCTGACATGATTTACAAGTATTTTTTCTAAGTAAACATTATTACAATATCATTAGAAAAACTCTATAATAATAAATTTTTAATATTTCCGATGAAATCGCACTAAGAGAAAGGGACGAGGACCGAGCAGTTTGAAGAAGAACCTAGAAAACGTCAATTTACCTTCGAAATTCTGAAGATTCCAACTTTTCACAGTATCAAGATGATCTAATATCGATCATACATCATCAATGATTCAATTACTGGCTGATTCGATGTTGACTTCGATGGAGATTTATAAATGTTGACAGAGGGTACGCTTAAAGTTGAGAAACTGCCGACATTTTGGCTGCCGACGCCGTTCGCGACGTTGCGCTATTTTCTTACTGTTTAACTAATCGTTCACAGAACGATACATTTTATAAGTATTTGCAAAAAATAAATAATAATTCGTTTTAACAAAAAATTGTATGATTATAGTATTTTGTTAGAAAATTTCTGACGTTTAGGAGCTTGAAGTATTTTTAGATAGTTACTTGATTTTTTTATAAGTATCCGCCGGAAACTCTAGAAAAGCAGTAAATTTGACTTCTAGGTTCAACTGTAGTATGACTTTAAGTTAT